ACCCAGAAGAGGATGGCCATCCAGCGGCTGAAGACAGGGAGCTGTCTGGAAGCTGCCTCCGAGCCAGACTGGCAGCCCAGATTTCTGCTCCAGCACAGCTGGCTGCATGTTTAAATGAACATGACAACATCTGACCTAACCTAGGTCAGACGTCGTCATGTTCACATGCTGGTTGCTGGAAAACTCTCTGTTTCCAGTGACTTCAATCACATCTGGTTGACAGAGGGACACCTCTAGAACACAACCACAAACTGTCAAAAACATCTGATGTGTCATTTCAAAATAAAAGACAATTAAAAAAGCACTTTTTTACTTTAAGTTGCCTTGCCTATTGCTGGAAAACTCTTTGTTTCCAGTGACTTCAATCACATCTGGTTGACAGAGGGACACCTCTAGAACACAACCACAAACTGTCAACAACATCTGATATGTAATTTTAAAATAAAAGACGATTAAAATAATGCGGTTTTACATTTCTATTAAACATACTTTACAGAAACATGTGCAACATATTTGTTTTGATTTTGTCATAACATCAAAACGACTTTAATACAGTTGCTTTCAGTCACATGTAAGATAAATGAATTTGTTACATTGAATATATGAAACTTGAAACAGATGTTTAAATATATATATTAGAAATTAAATAAACTCTTCAAAAACAGTTTTACTCTGTTGAAGTTGGTTCAATAGCCGTCTAGTGTTGAGTTCTCAAGGTGCTATTTCACATAAACCTATGGGTTATACATAGCTTTAGTAATATAATAATAAAAAGAAGAGACAGAATAGGTAAGTTGTTTTCATCCTATTGCATACGTTTTTTTTTTTTTTTTCAGATTCAATGTGACACTTGTGAAAGGTGGTTCCATGAGGAGTGCCTAGGATCATCTGAAGAGGAACTTAAGAAAATGCGTGAAGAAAAATGGAATTGTCAGTTGTGTGGTAAGACGTTTATTCAGTTTTTTTATTTTTTATTATAAACATGTGTAACATAGAACAACAACTATTTTTAAATAATGTAAATCACATGCAGATGACATGAACAAATGCATACAAAATATGCAGCTGAAGATAATTATTTATTTTGATTGTATTTGGTTTTTTTGTCTTTAGATGAGAATAACTCATTTTACTACTTCTACATATTGTAGTAATTTTTTTTTGTATTTGCTTTGTTTAATCCCACACTCATTTCTTGTCCAGGCTGATAGTTGAAGGTGGTGGAGGGTCTCCAAGAGGTCAAGTTTCGATTATTGTTGGGGTGACCGGTGTTGGGGTGTGTTGTTTAAACATGAATGTTCTGTACTGTAAATATATCATGTAAAGTGTGTTGAATAAAGTGTGGTTTACAGTGATTTTCAAACACTCAATGCCTTACTGTTATTCTGTTTCGCAAATCCAAGGTGTCGTTGACACCTTCCAGTTACCATGCTGTGAGAGTTGCATTTAAGGGGCTGAGAATCAAACAACTTCATAACTTTGTGTTGTAACAACTGGAAAGAAAGAGTTTTCCAGCAATGGGCACGGCAACTTAGGGTAAAAAAGTGCTTTTTTACTTGGCTTTTATTTTGAAATGACACATCAGATTTTGTTGTCAGTTTGTGTTTGTGTTCCAGAGGTGTGATTCTGTCAACCAGATGTGCTAGAAGTCATTGGAAACAAAGTTTTCCAGCAATGGGCAAGGCAACTTAAAGTAAAAAAAAGCTTTTTTAATTGTCTTTTATTTTGAAATGACACATCAGATTTTGTTGTCAGTTTGTGGTTGTGTTCCAGAGGTGTCCCTCTGTCAACCAGATGTGCTAGAAGTCATTGGAAACAAAGAGTTTTCCAGCAATGGGCAAGGCAACTTAGGGTAAAAAAGTAAAAAAAGTGCTTTTTTAATTGTCTTTTATTTTGAAATGACACATCAGATGTTGTTGACAGTTTGTGGTTATGTTCTAGAGGTGTCCCTCTGTAAACCAGATGTGATTGAAGTCACTGGAAACAAAGAGTTTTCCAGCAATGGGCATGGCAACTTAGGGTAAAAAACTGCTTTTTTAATTGTCTTTTATTTTGAAATGACACATCATATTTTGTTGACAGTTTGTGGTTGTGTTCTAGAGGTGTCCCTCTGTCAACCAGATGTGATTGAAGTCACTGGAAACAGAGTTTTCCAGCAATGGGCATGGCAACTTAGGGTAAAAAAGTAAAAAAGTGCTTTTTTAATTGTCGTTTATTTTGAAATGACACATCAGCTGTTGTTGACAGTTTGTGGTTGTGTTCTAGAGGTGTCCCTCTGTCAACCAGATGTGATTGAAGTCACTGGAAACAGAGAGTTTTCCAGCAATGGGCATGGCAACTTAGGGTAAAAAAGTTAAAAAGTGCTTTTTTAATTGTCTTTTATTTTGAAATGACACATCAGATCTTGATGAAATTTTCTGGTTGTGTTCTAGAAGTGCCCCTCTGTCAACCAGATGTGATGGCAAAATACAAGATGAAGGTATGATGGTAGCCAAATTTTTTTTTTTTTACAATATTTTATAGTAAAAGACATAAACCTAGCTGTATTTATATTTAGCTATTGTGATGTACTCATGACAATCCTTAACAGAATACGAATATGACCTGATTTTAGATAGTTAAATCTATGACGACAAAAAAAACATCCCGTGTCCACAAAGCGGGCAAATTGCTGTCTCTACAAATATTGCGGGGAAAGGGTAAGTCATGTGAAATCAGTTTGGTCTGCCTGATTTAAACAGGTAATTGTGTTACAAAGTCTAAAACTCGAAGCCGTTGTAAATCTATTTCCAGTAGATTAAACATGGACCGGATGCACGCTTTTATTGTGAAAGCAGCACGTAAATGGCGGTACCATAATGTCTTGAGCTGTCGCGCTTGTGAAAATCGAGAGCGGGCTGGCTTTACTGTTATTTTCGAAGAGGCGGCTAGCTTTACCGCAGTATGATGGTCTGGATGTTGATGTTGTCCTTGGGAGACATTTACAATTTATTCCAGCAAGTATTGAGTTAATAAAGCAGCACAAGGCAGTCAGATAAACACAAAACAAATGGACGTTTGGCCGAATTAAAGCAAAAACCACCATCAGAATGAGCGGTAGTTCACACATAACTAGACAGAGAGAAGTGCACTACAGACGGGGTAACATTAGCCCTGGCTGCGGTTAGGAAAAATAGACTTTGAATTACCTTGACGGGCATGTATCGCTTTAGTCATGTACAAAAACAAATATATAATTATTTACTCTTTAGTGGTTTTTTAAGCCTTTCGGTGATCTGACCTTAAATATTTTATTTTGTACTTGACAAAAGGGATACACATCCGTTGAGGTAACTTTAAAACAAATTTTCGTACAAAACTAAGGGGATAAAAACAAATCTTGCGTATTGACTATAGGTATGCTGGTCTGATGGGTTATGTGGATCTAACAGACACCGCGCTGATATGTGTGTTGCAGGCCATGACCACTGATCTCTATGGCTATGGTGCAAATTTTTGTTGAAAGAAATGTTCACGTTTAAATTTTTTATGTATTCATTACCCAAATTTTTCCAGCATTGGAGAACGTAGTGAATGATTGTTTTACCTCCCGCACACCATACTGACATAAACAAACAAAGAAAGTCAAATTGAATTTTAGTTAAAATTTTTTTTAAAGTTCCAGGGAGCCGCAAGGAATGCGCTAAAGAGCCGCAGGTTTAGAAGAACTGCTTTACTTAATTGATTTGACTTCATTAAAATGACCCAGAGGTAGAATCATAAGTCTCTATTTTTACAAGGTTAGCAACCTTATCAGCCTTCATGAAAATTATTGGATTTAAAACTGTTAAAGAAGCTGTATTTAAGGGAGGGACAAGTCATACTGCAAACACCACTAGGTGGTTTTTAATCTCTCTTCGCAGAACACTAACCGACCTGTTGTAGAATAGGATGGATTTCTTTTAGTTTCAGGGTCTGACATGGCCGCATTGAGAGGAACTCAAGAAGAGCCATATAGTTTTTCAAATTCCAGACAGTAATATCCCTCATGTGTAAAGGAGTCATTCAATATTATGTTAAACTTGTCAGATACCAGTCTTTTCAAGCATCGACATAGCTCCATCTGGTTATATGAAATGCATTAACTTTTTAAAACAACACTCAAGATAAAACAGAATCGATAGGATTTAAAAAGAAAAAAATATATATATAAAGGATTTAACCCAAATGAATAAATGGTTACTAATGTTTTGAATGTTTTTTTCCGAATTCCCCTTGAACGTATCACCCTTTTCCCAGTTCCCATGAATCCTGTTTCCGTGGCTGCGTCTCAATTCGCAGGCTGCGTACTTCCGAGGACGCAGCCTACCTAGCCTCCGGAGGACCCAGCCTCGGTAGGCTGCTCCGGAGGATCCTCAGCCGTTGGTAAATGGGACGGTCTAGCCTTTGGAGCACTTCCTGGTTACGTCACGACGTCATCACGTCTACACAAAGCCCGGGAAAAACCGCGCCATTAATCCGACGATTGATTATTGATTCAAATAGCATAGCAAAATGGAAACTGCAATTTTTATTTTATTTTATTTACCTGATGTTGGAAGAGGAGAGTCGGATTCGGCGGCAGCAAAACCGGCGACAGATTTATTTGAGGCTGGCAGAGCGCAGTGGAGAGGTAACATTTACCTTTATTATTTTCCCCCACTAGGGTCTGCTAATGATCAGAATATACCAGTTATTTATTAAACACTTGTCAGCAGATTAATGAATATCATATTTTAAATATATATTTTTAAGACTTGGTATAAGCTTGTTTGTAACTTTAGTAATTTGAATTGAATAGTCAAATGTTTACAATCCCTGTAAATAACTACGGTGGCCTAGAAGTGCAAACCAACAATACAAAATCTGAAACAACAATACAAAATCTGAAACACTTTTACAAATCTTGAAACAAATTTACATTTCAGAAAACAAATTTACAACAAACGAAACACTTTTACAAATCATAAAACAAATTTACATTTCAGAAAACAAATTTACAACAAACGAAACACTTTTACAAATCATAAAACAAATTTACATTTCAGAAAACAAAATTACAACTGACAAAATCTTACGGAAAGGGAGGGACTGTCTTCGAAGCTTACCCGGAAGTGATAACCGGAGCGTTCATGATGACCCAAGATGGAAGCGAATAGAGTTGCGTTTTGCCCGTTCTGCGGCACTCATGTGAGCAGGTTAACGCGTTTTTGTTTTTCCTGCGGTCGGTCATTTGAGTTTTTAATTGGTACCGAACAGACGGAAGAACCGGAGGTACCTGGGACATCCCAACAAGCGGATAATGCTAAACAAAGTAAGTGCAGCATAAGCTCGCTATCCGAAGTATATCAATTTAAAGGAACCGCGCTGTTGGTTAGCTCACCTCGCTTTTCTGATTTCAGAAGGTGAATTGTGCCCATCATACAAACAGTTCATGGAGTACAGAAGCTCAAAATCTAAAGAGCGTCAGTCATTTAACTACGGTGCTAGAGGAAGACATCGTGCTAAAGAACAAAGACAAGTACAGGTGAGTATTACTATGATTACCATCAGTACCTCACAGTCCGACTCGAGGTGGCTTAGAAATTTATCTGTAGTGAATTTATTTTACAGACTGACTTAAGTTAAAAAACGACAGTTTGAAGTTGACGTAGATTCTGTGGCATAGCAGCCACCAGCGAAAATGCTGTATAACCATTTGGATCTGTAGCTTAAAATGGTACGGATCACTTTTAAGCTGTGGTATGAAGAAGTTGGCTATGTAGGAACACCACCTTCTCTATGGAAACACAGATCTGTGTATTGTATTAATTTCGCTTAAATTTAATACACAATGTTAATCTCCTCTTTTTCGTAGATAAACATTGGAATCATGGTGCCGATCGGAACTGATTTAAAACCTCTCAGGGGGAAAACAATCCCATTATTTGTTGACCCAGATGTAGGAGCAAAAGAGATACTGCAAAAAGGTGTCCAGAAAATGAGAACATTCAACAAGGACATACAAGAAGGACCATACGTCCTTTTATATCCAGACTGTTCAGAGGTAATCAATGTGCCTGGATCAGAGAGGCCATTCAAATTGTCAGAATATAAAAAAGAACTTGGAAGGCCATATTCCAGGATCACATTTTTCATTTGTTTAGAGACCCATTTAAAAGGAGGTAAGTTGTCTATTTTTGTTTAACAAATTTCAGTTACTCTAAGATTGCATCTAAAGTATCTATATAATTTGCTGTTTGTTTTGACAGCTGTGGATGACACCTCAGACTCGGATTCTGAAATCATCTTCATGTCAAGGAGCACATCTGAATTCTGCAAAGCTGACACAGTGGTATATCATTTACTTTTTCGATTGTTTTAAGTTATTTTTATTTTATGGGGTGGGGAGCTTTATTGGCCTTTTTAAATAATACTTTATCCTTCCACATAGCTTTACATTTATATAAAAGAATACAGCTTTTTACGAGCAGTCATCTTCTGTCTCCCTCTCCTTTTTATTTATCTTTCTGTCTCTTTTTTAATTCAATTCAAAATGAGTGTTGTAACACAACATAAAAGGATGCAATCATACAGTTTTAGCCCACACTCCTGATCCAAACGACACAAGTTCTGTCTGGAATAACTACTGTGTTTATTTATTATCTTTTCTTATTAGTAAACGCCTCATGCTCCTCCATATTGACAGTTAGGAGTTTCTCAGTCCCGATTTCGTGGGAGTTTTTAGTGCAGCCATCCTCACAAACCGGGCCCATTTACAAAACTCTTAAGTTTACCAAGGCAGATAAAAATATGTTGTTACTCTGAGGGCTCTCTCTTCTGGCGGGAGTGCTAACGCAGGTGACTCTGAACTCGACTTAGTAGAAGAAACATTAAAGTTGGCTCCATGCGCCCAGTGCAGACTCTCTTAGTGGATGTTAGAAACATCATTTTCCAGCGCACTTAAGGCTACAGTTCTTGTCACAAACTGCTACATTTCCCACAGAATGCACCCAGCATGCACCTGTCAGTCTGTGGTGCAGAGAAGCTGACACCGCTGAAGATTATGAGTTGTGACTGCCTAGGAGCAGCTCCATGTGAAGACTTCATCCAACCAAGCACTTTATATATGTTTTTAAAATTTAGCTCTGCACGTACCTGTCACAGACTGGTGTCTGCCTTATTATGTTGGAACCTAAAGACTGAAATGGCTCATGATGCAATCCGCTATTTAGATTTTAATAAAAAAAAAACCTCCCTATAGAACAGTGGGGGAAACACTGAAATATGGGATAGGAGGACAGTTATGGCAGCTGTGACACATTGCTGATAATTGTTTGTTTCCTCACAGGTTTACGAACCACAAAACCAAAGTACTCCCAAAGAAAAACCTGCAGATGATGGGTAGGTACATTTTGGCCTCTGGGCTTTTTCACAAAATGTGTCGTGACTGACAAAAGGCAGTTTGAAATAGTTAATCAACAAATAGGAATCCTGCCTATTTTTTTTTTTTTTTGAAAGTCTGAATAACATTTTAATAATCAAATCCTTTTTATTGCTTTTTAGGGATGCACAGGGCCATTTATCAACAATTCAGCCTGGGCAGGTAATACAACAGCCTATGACAGCCTTTCTCAGTGTTGTCGTTTGTGTAATTTTAATTAGTTTTACAGACAGAAATCTCTTTTGCTTAGAATCCATCTGAAACAAATCCAGACAAGAGCTGCTACAGGTAAAAAAATGATAATATAGAAGAAATTTGTATTTGTTAAATGTTTTAACATGAAGATTTTATTTTCCCAACAGTAAATACACAGATCTGTATTCACCATGTGTTGAGGAAGAGGATGAGGAGTTTGTTGCAGACACTATGGAGAATGTCCAAGACACAGTGTAAAATAAGTTTATAAGTCTGAAATTCCAGTGTTTGTGCAACACTGCTGGTATTTAAATATTTGTTGTTTAATTGTGCACTGTTTGGTATATTCTTTAATTGAAGCACTTGTTGTCTTTGCAGGACAGAAGTTCACACTACACTACCTGAGATTGTAGCAAACCTCTCACTTTCTATTGATCACAAGAGAGTGAGCAGGTTCAACATCTCAAGGGCTGATGTTTGGGAGGGAGCTGTCAGAGGGTTTAAGCGTTCAACATATTCTGAAAGCTGCGACATGCTGGTCAGATTTACTGATGATGCTGGTGTTTATGAGGAGGGAATTGATACAGGTGGTCCAAGACGGGAATTTCTATCTCTGCTGATGAAATGCTTGAAAGACCGGCCCATTTTTGATGGACCAGAAGGACATCGTTTCTTGGTCTACAATGCAAATGGTATACATAGGATTAGATATGTGCTTTACTAGTGATTAGTTAATTATTAGACAGCATATTATTCCCCTCAGTGGCTTAAAAGTGTATAGTGTATGTTTTCATTTTGCAATATGATTTTATTTACAGCTGTTAGGGAGGATGAATACTTCCTTGCAGGAAAGATGATTGCAGTTTCAGTTGTGCATGGAGGTCCAGGACCCCATTTCCTGTCAGAAGATCTTGTACATTATCTTGCCGGCCAGCCTTCATTCCAACCAACTGTTAAGTTAGTAACTGATGAAAGGATAGGGAAAGCTTTGCATGAGGTGAGGATAGCATAAATCTATAGTGTTATCAGACAGTTTAACATGGTTCCTAGGCCTGTCACGGTAACAAATTTTGCTGGGCGATGATTTGTTTTTTTTAAAGTATTAAGCTAAATCATATTGCCGTTTGGAGGCCTTACTCAATTACGGTAATATGGTAATGGCTTAATAAATATATCCTCTCGACTTACCATATCACACACATTAAACAGGCGGGGTTTTTGGTTTAAATCCAAAAAACTCCCATCCCTCTATTGTTGTGTTTGGCTTTGACACCTATTTAATTTCTTTTCAAACTAGTGTGTCTGTGGCTGCCCCTCATGGGGATCTCGTTTTAAATTTGAGGATGTGTCTACCTGACACAAGTCAGGTTCCCCCCAACATAATATTAACCTGGCTGGCCGCCAGGCTTTACCCAGCGACATAAAGCGGTCAGTTAAGTTCCCATCTGGAGGAAAGCATCCTGATCAACTAACCTTTTGCGCTAGCTGGTATTAACTTTACACACACTACGGCACCCAGTTAAGGGGCTGCATTGCACAAGTCCCTGTTCCCTTGGCACCTCACCCAACCCACCAGACCAGTACCCCAAGGATTACCCCTTTTTCTGTAGGAAATTCTGGCAACAATTAACCCCTCTCCTACATTGGAAATGAGAAGGGAAGGGTGAGCAGACATCAATGCACCATATTGAGACAGAAACACAAGGGGAAATATTCAAGCATGCATACCCAAATTATTGTTTATTTTAATTACTCGTGATTAAAATTGTGCAATTAATCGATATATTGCTTATTGTGACAGGCCTAAAGGTTCCTACACTGTTTTATGATGCAAATGACTTCCTATATTGCATATATGCTATCAGAATTATTAATTTTATACTGTAGC